CAAGAGGGAAGGCTAATCTGGACATTGTGTGGACTAGAAAGAAACAGCGGAAGACTACCAAAGGTAGAGGCGGAGATGTTAAGTCAATAGGAATCGATCCTAAGACTATTGGAGGATGATGAGAGGAGAAACTCAAGTCGGATGGAGGCAGGAATGAGCAGAATCCAATATGATATTCAAACTGAGGATATACAGAGAATTTACAAGGTTTATATACTACAGAAACATAACAGAAGATCAGTCAGCACAGTGCAAGGCTATGTACGAGGCATGTGGAAAGCTTATCAATAGTATAATGGAACATAATAAAATGAAGTCAGAGATAAAACAAGGTCCAGATAAATGAGTACAGTCAGATATGTAAATAACTGGGGGACCAGTAAAAGGGGCTAACCAAAAAGGGATGTATGAAAGGGGACAGAAGCGGAAGTAAGAAGCGGGTCAGATCCAGACATCCAGACATCTGGAGATGAGTGCATGATCGGTCCAGGTCCATAACATGGGATATAACAGATGATCGATGGAGATGGAGATGCATTGGCAATGCACAGGATAAGCTATCGGACATCTGCATTGATCTCAAAACATGTCAAAAGCTAGTGCATCTGACATTGTGGTGGATGGAACTACTAGTGGGGAGGTTGCTGATGGTCCTAGGACTATTGTGGTCTAGTGCACGAAGAGGCTGCTTGCTTCTCATCCTGCACCCAAGCCTAAGCACCCAAGCCTCAACCTGCAATGGCTGTGGTTGATTCCAGGATGAATGCTAGTGGTACGTTTTCCATTAGAACAAGGAACAATCTGTCCTTTATGGTGATGTTGGTGCTGAACCTCTCCAGAAAGTTGCTGTGGTTTGTGGGTGTGTTGAACAATTCTGCTGATTCCTTGGAGTTTAGCTTATATAGTATGCCTCCATGGGGGAGTGTGCATGCTGATACAAAGGATAGGTCCTTGAGGGTTGGAATGTCATCCTTGTCCATCATCTCTAGGGCCAGCTTCGCTTTGGATACCAGTTGGGCTTCCATTAGCTGTGCTGTTGTGTCTTTTGGTATTATAAATAATCTTCTGTCTATTAAGATTTGCCTGGATTAGCCCTTGTTGCATGAAAGGAGCTTTCTTAGTGAGCCAGGAGTTGGAGACTTTGCCACTGCAGTGTAGGACCTCAGTCCTTCAGACCTGGTCTGCGCTGTTGCATGCTGGTCTATTGTGATTGCTGCATTTTTTGCTGCCTTATCTATTCCCTCAAGAGAGTTGTTGAGGTTAGTGCATACCTTGTTTACTGTTTCTTCTAGTGCATTCTTGTGCTCATCAGCTGTCTTTGCAAGTCCTTCTGCCTTTTCCACCATGATTGTCATTAGACCTCCTGTAAGATTTTCAATTCTGTTAATGATGTTAGTCATGTCCATTGAGCATTCTGAATCATGTAGCATTATGACTAGTACTCTCAGTATTTCTGTGAGAGTAGAACTGAGGCCTGCTGAAATGTTGAATTTAAACAGTGCCACTACAATTTTTTTCTAGCATGGTGCCTGCTGTTGGTAGGATGAGGCCATGTGTGATTAAGAGCTTCTTCACTGTGGTAGTATTAGTTATATCTGTTCTGATGCCAGCACCTTCTATATATTCTTCTATTGTTTTGCTTGTGGTTAGTAGAGGTTTGTTTGCCATAGTTTTTCTCAATCTGGTGTTGCCCATTGCTGCCAGTGCAGGGCTTGTGGATCCTGTTGGAGCCATTTCTTGGGACTGGGAACTGGTTGGGGGTCGCCTAAAGGCATGGGTGTCACTGTTAGGTGCAGTGTTGATGAGGATTTTTGAGGTCCTAGTCAGGGTGCTGGTTCATGTCCAAGAAGCAATGTCCATGGTTCACAAAGGATCTCGAGCAGACTGGAGTCCAGCATCAACCTCAGTGAAAACTGACTATGATGGGAGGAGTCGTCACATGCTTAGAAATGATTTTCCTTTTTAGTTACATGTTGGTATATGCATTTATCATAATCCGACTCATTGCATACGTCGTGCTCATAATGTTGCGTTGCGAAGCGCTAACTTCATATATTTCCTTAGTCTTTGCTTTGCTTTGCTTCTCCATCGCACTTTGCCAAGCATGTAGGTTCGTTACATTGGAGTCTTTGCATTCATAGCCATATTTCAATCTATAGAAAACATGCCTACAAATGAGTCCACTGAAAATGTCAGTCTCTGTGTGTGCTCAAGATACAACTTCAGGAGGCCACATAGCGTGTCGACAGCAACTTGGCGCCGACATCTACAAGAGGCCCCAGAAGATGAGAGAGAGAGTATTCGTCTGTGCAGAGCACTACCAGAACACATGTCCCTTCTTCCAGCTGACCAAAATCTTCCACTAGACTCTGAGCCTGCAGCACACTGTGTCCCTGATCCTCCTGGTGCTGTCTACCAGTAGTGCTCGTCATACTGCTGCATTGCGGGAACTTGCTAAGCGCGCACAAGTTGATGAGAGTAACAATCATGCTGTCAGACATCACAAACGTGCTCGGAATTCTGAGCCATCCACCTCCAACGTTAATGAAAATAATAACACAGACAATGATTTTGAGATGGATGACAATCTGGTATGTTTCTTTGCCTTGTTATGATCTAAATTTTTCAATAGTCATATTACAGTACTATGATGATCAAAACCACCCTCTGGAGCCAGATGCACCTGAGCATAGACCTCCCCCAGTGCCGGATGAACTGAATATGCCCCAAGAACTGGATATGCACCAGCACCACCTCCGGAACCAGATGCACTTGAGTATAGACCTCCCTCAGTACTGGACGAGCCAGACATCCCCCATCATCTCCCTCCAGAACCAGACTTGCACGAGCACCACCCTCCACAAGCAAATGCGCATCTGCCGCAGTATGAGTTAGAATTTGAGCAAAGAGAACGGCCACACATTGATGTGGAGGCCAGGCTCTTTACCGTAATCCAGACAGCGCACGCGACATGCATTATCTTCACGAGTGCACACAGGAAGTACTGACAGAGCTTCGGGCAACAGGTACTATTCCTGTCATTGATGACATCGTGATGGGATGGGACTATCTTACTGCAGTGATCGATGGGGATATCAAGGAAGGAGACATTGCTCTCATGGTCTCATTGGATGGTGCGCAACTCTACAAGTCTAAGGAGTCAGACTGCTGGATTTATATGTGGGTTGTTTTAAACCTCTCCCCCAACAAACAATACCGCAAAGTACATGTCCATCCAGGTGGCTTTATACCTGGACCAAACAAGCCAAAGAATGTCGATTCTTTCCTCTTTGTTGGAATGCACCACCTTGCAGCCATCCAAAACGAAGGCCTTACCGTGTGGGATGCATCCCGTGATGCAACATTTATATCGGACATTCACCTCATATTCACGACAGCTGATGGGCCTGGACTTGTGTATTGGGATGGAATGGTGGGGCACAGTGGGAAGAATGGGTGTTGGATCTATTGTGGAGTACAGGGCCGAAGAAAAACTTGTGGGACTCATTACTACCCAGCACTCTTGAAGCCAACTGATCATTCAGTCGTTGGGAGCAACCATCCAGATATTGATGTGTTCAAAATTCCGCTCGGAGGATCTGATGACTACAAAACTAACTTAAAATGCCTCATTACTTCTCCAAATCAACGTCAGTTCGACCTCAGGAAAACGGAGACAGGTATAACAAAGCCCCCTCTAATCCTTGGCCTAAGTCCTTCACGCAGTCTTGGAGTCCCATTCTGCATGACGACGGACATCATGCACCTCGCAGCAAATCTTAGCAATCTCTTACTGAGTCTCTGGCACGGAACTTTAGACTGCGGCCCATCAGACAATGTCAAAACTTGGGACTGGGCTGTCTTTAGAGACGAGGGTACCTGGACTATATATGGAGCAGCAGTTGAGAATGCCGGACCCTACCTTCCCACTTCATTTGATCGCAAGCCTTGTAATATTCCTGAGAAGCTTAACACCGGCTATAAAACATGGGAATTTCAACTGTACATGTTTGGCCTTGCACCTGCACTACTTGTTACGCTGACCGTCGGTCGGCGTGTGCGAACTAGGATAGGTCTTCTCAGCGACGACTCGAGTGAGTCTACTGAAGCTGAGGGTGGTTCTCGGCTTGACGAAACGTCAAGGGTTCCTCCAGTGATCTCGGTAAGACGGCGCTCATCGAGATACAGGGCTAGCGGATACGGCTAAGAAGCGGGGAGCGACTTAGAAGTGCGGTCTTATACAAGAAAGCTGAGAGGCTTAGTTGAACAAGTTCTGGGATGAACCTAGTAGATTAAAGTAAAGTCTAAGTACTATAATCTGTCTACTTATATGTGCTACATATAAGTATTCTAGCTCAGTCTGTAATCTATAGTATATCTAGGATCTATGATAACAAGACATGAGGTCAGATAAGGTACATGAGGCTTTAACCTCTGATTAAGCATGCAGCGCCAAGTGCGACTGCGCATAAGTACCATGAGGCGCCAAGGGCGCTCCAGATCTTCATGAAGCGACATGCGGTATACATGCGCTGATCTAGGGTGACCATGAGACGTACAGCCTCCATGGATCAGGTACAAGGCCGTCTAGGCCAGGGGCGGTGTCACAGTGGTCCAGACCGCTGTCTTTCTAAGTGCAGGCGGTGTTCCGCCGCGTCTAGAGTCTAGCAGAGCGGGGGCAGGCGTAGGCAGAGCTGGGGCTCCTGTAGGTGTTATGGATGCCTGTAACACTACTCTACGACATTCTACCCCAGAAATACTGGTCTAACTACTGCCAACTCATCCGTGGATTCCAGCTGATGTGTCAATATCGCATCACAGCCCAGGAACTTGTCCATGCCCAAGCACTTTTATGCTGCTGGGAACGGGACTTTGAACTCTTGTATTATCGTCGCCGAGAAGATCGCATCCACTTCATTCATCCATGTGTCCATCAAACCAACCACCTCATCTCAGAAACAGTGCAGAAAGGCCCATCAATATGCTATGCACAGTGGACTATGGAACGAATGATTGGAAATTTGGGTCAAGAAATTTGTCAGCCCTCGAATCCTTTTGCAAACCTCTCACAAGAAGTAGTTCGACGCTGCCACATTAATACCCTTCTCTCCATAATGCCTGAGCTCGACAATTTACACCAAGGCCTTCCAAATGGTTCTGTTGATTTAGGAGATGGGTATGTGCTTCTTCGCAAACGAGAACGATATGCGAAACTCCCAGACGGTGCAGATGCACAAGCAATCACCAATTTTCTTGGTGCTTGTCACATGCTTCCTCACATCAAGAAATGGGCCTGACTTTTGTTACCCAATAAGCAGGTTGCTCCCTCAGCTTGGAGAGAGACCACCAAAGCGCGTGAGCAAGTGCGAATGTCACACAATGTGAAGGTTTGTTTGTTTTATTAAAACATCTTCTACATGCTAACTCATTATAGTTTAAAGTTGCTGGACAGTTTCGAAGACAACATGGAGACACTGTACAAGCACTATAAATGAACAAGTTATATTACAATACAGACAAATATTGTACTTACATTGCCAGAAGAAGTTCAGGAAGGTCCTCCTCAACCTTAATTGTCAGATCTTCCTCAGGCTCGGTTTTGATGTTCTCCTCCTCAGACTTAACCACTGGCATCATGTCTTCATCCGGCTTTGATCCTCATTGCGACGAAGGTCTTTGAAGCGAAAAACAACTCTCTATACAATTATATATGTGGGATCAGCAAATAAGCACAAAAAACACGCACCTTTCATCCAGGAGATTCCATGTCTAAAGACAAGACATAAGTAGCCCACGACACGTCTAAACCATCGATCTTGACAACAACAACATCCCCGAGCATCATGACGTTGGATGAGCTAATGATAGTTGGGGAAGACATCAATGTGTGGTAAGTCATGAAATGAAAGGTACCGTGTCGAGACCAAGACAAGTTTCTTGATTCGGTATTTTCCATCGGAGACAGAATATTGAATACAGATGACTTAATGAGTCTTGCTTGTAGTTTATATCGAGTCAGTCTGTCCTATCACTGACTTTATAATTCTTACAGTTCTAGTATGTTCAGTATGGCTGGCGAGGGAGGCTCTAGCCTCTGGAACAACAGTGCATTTTCAGGGTCTTATACACCTTCTCCTGGACCCTCCTTGGCAAATATGACGTCACCCAAGGCAGATTCATTCTCACCACCCCCAGTGCAAGTCCCACAGCCTCAATTCAGCTTGTTTCAGCAGGTGAGTGAGTCACTTGCTACTGTTTCTATTAACTTACTGTATGTTTTAGGGAGCATATATGCATGAAAACCAAGCCTTGCAAGAGCATTGTGAAATCTTGGAAGCACAGGTCACCAAACTCTCCATTGAATGTGATACTATACAGTAAGATTTTGTATGTACTTCATGTGCATTCTCTAATGTAATGATAGGGCAATGTTTCACCAGCTCGCCTCTTCTGTGTGCCTTGATGAAGCTGTGGAGTCTCTCAGCTCCAAAGGCATACACCTATCACTGGCAGCACCCTGCACCAGTAACATCAAACGGCCGACTTGTGAGACACATCCCAAGGTCAAATTTTGGAACCAGGACGCATTCTTGGATTGGGCAGAACGAGCTAGCGCACAAGGGCTTCATTGCGGGAAAATTCCTTACCTTGAAGGTGAAAAAGGAGAACTGGTCCCTGAAGCAACAGTCAAAGCTATTCACAAGATCCTGCATGGAGGATGTTCAGAACTTGTAAATCGCCAGCTTGCTCTGAAGTCGTGGGGCAAGTTGTCCTCGACGGGAAACCAATTCATTCATTCACTCATGGAAAAATCGTACCCACTGTTTACTCTCGCTAACGATGGATGGAAACTAGATTATCTGTGCAAGTCGTCTTACTCCACATGGCGAAGGAACCACCTTGATGACAATGGCAACTGGAAATCAAGGAAGGATGGCAATGACGTCAGTGATGATGACAGCGACGATGGAGACTCCTTGGACGCAAAAGGTAAGAAGCGCAAGAAAGTGAAGTGCTCAAAGTCCAAGGTCCCAGAAAAGAAACTCAAATGTAGGTTCTCACTCAAGTTGCTTTACCCTACTAATAATACCATACTGTAGTTACTCCAAATGTGTTGATTCCCCCTTCTTTGCCTCCAACTCCTTCGATACCACCAGCAGTACTTCCTTCCCCAGTGCTATCACCATCTCTGGATCTTTTGGACTCGGAGAGTGCAAGCATTCCCACTACCAACGGCGACACTGCAGAGCCTTCTCATACCATCATCGAAGAGTCTCTGGAGAGTGCGAGTGTCACTCCTACTATTGTTATTGCAGAGCCTTCCCATCCCATCAAAGAGTCCGAATCTCCCACTACTCTTCCAAGCCCTATCACCGTGTCATCTCATCCTGCTGGCGATCCGCTTGAGGAAAAGGAAAATATACCACCACCACAGCCACCTACCGCTACACCTGCACCAATCAAAATCACTGTATCCAATCCCATGTTGGTTGTACATTGCTTTTATTTGTTGGTGTTACTTACTTTCTTTAGCTCATTGCTCGCGCTGGCTGCCGCTGGTGTGAAAATTCCTCCACTGCCTTCCGATTCTGTACCTATGCAAGCACCTCCTGTTCCAACCGAAAAAGTGTCTGTCCCATCCGATGGAGCCAACTCCAACCTCCAGAAAGGCAAAGCAGCCAAGGCAGGAAGCAAGAGCTTGAAAATGTGCCCGAGCCCTACTAAGAATGGATGGTACGTGTTTTTTTCTCAGACTTTCCCTTTACTAATGGGTTGCAGTAATCTATGTGCTCTTTGTTGGCTGAAGCAAATCAAAATTGGCGGGACGACAGAGGAATTTTGTGCTTATTATGGGAATCTGACACTAGAGCAACGAAAGGCAAGTGATATAATCTCTTGTATTTGAGTTGATTCATTCACACTGACCGGTAGGGATACAATGAGGAAGCAGCTACACTTGTAAGTCCTTGATTCTCTCTCGATGGACCTTCTAAATTATTGTCTACTAGGTTGCTTCCGATACATGGACCAAATCTGTCTCCAAAGGATGTCACTATTAGATTCAGCATGATCCGCTTCAGCATGATCCGACCCTGCACAATTTGACATACACATTTCCTACAATGTTTTCGAGTGCTTTCGAGCTGCTGTCCACGCACATCATGTTTTCAAGCCGCTATATGTGTTTTTGAGCTTTTTTGTACCACTTTTGTACCACCATTCCTACAGTGCCTAATATTATTCGAGCATATTTGCGCACATTTTCAACCATCTGGCAAGGGGAACGAGTATATGCGTTCAAATGCGCAAATATGTTTTACATTAAAAAAAGCACCTATGTGCATGAGGAAACCCACACCTGCATATATTGAAATGTGTGGATTCGCTCACTATGTGTCTTATCATGTTCTCATATGTTTTTCTACTGAGCTGCTGACAAAATCACTTATTGTCACACCACGACTCCTCCTGTCATAGTCAGTTTTCACTGGGCATCAACACTCTGCCCCCTATGCTCATCAGCAAAATGGGAAGGCAGAGAGGGTGATGCATACGATTGAAGGTCGTATGTATGTGATGCTGGACTTCGCTCATCTGCCAAGACTACTGTGGGGAGAGGCTACACTCACCGCATGCTACTTATTTAACCGGACTGAGTCATGTACTTTGCCAGTGAGGAAGACTCCTTATGAGATGCTTCATGGTGTTCAGCCAGATCTATCCCACATTCACATCTTTGGTGCACGCTGTTTCGTGCGCATCCCCACAGAACTGCAACAGAAGCTCAGATCTCGCTCTCATGAAGCCATCTTCATGGGGTATCCCCCTGGAGTGAAAGCATGGCGGTGCCATGACCTTGCCACTGGAGCCTTCTTTAACTCACATGACATTATCTTTAATGAGAGTCTGATGAATCATGAGTTCCCAGACAGTGATGATGAAGATGACGATGTACTTGCTCCAGCAATCAGTCACAACCCAACCACGTGCGCTGCATCTCCTGTGACTCCTGCACCTCCCATTGACCCTCCTCATGCCACTATCATTCGACGTTCAGGCTGAATACCCATTCCAATCGAGAAGGGCCAGAACTTCAGGAACTGTGTTGCAGTCAATAAGTCCCAGCTTGCACATCAGCATGAAGTTCACATTGCCCGGATCAATGGTGTCCCTCCCCCATCTGATAGCATCAACTCTGCCCCAGCACCCATTGTGTCCACACCCACTCACATGGCTGATCTTCTACCTCTTCCTCCTGTTGACCCAGACACCATCACTCCTGACAATGAGGCTGTAGGCTACCCTAGGAACTATTGAGTGTCTGAGTCTTTGGGATCCAACACCACAGTTGTGGGACACTTTGCAGACTTTCCAAAGGTGAGCTCATGACTTGCTTTTTGCTTGATGATCTTTTTGACATTTGATAACTTATTAAGAACTCTCGAGCCTTCTCAGTAGGCTTACACTGTTATTTGTTAGCTATTGATGCAGAGATTATTTTGTAGTTTGATATAGAAGCACCACTTAGAATAGAAGATTCCCAGAGTGTCAGTATTTAGTTTTAAAGTTTACAATATAGTACACCATATGGGGATGGAACTGTACAGTTCAATAAGTTTCAACTGATACCAAGATACCCACCAACCATTGAACCCATGCCTATGGGTATGGGTATATGAAGGGTCAGCCCCTACTCAACCCACAGGTACCCATACCCATGACCCATGTGGGTTTTCAAAACCCATGTCATTGCCTAATTACAGCCTCATCCAAGGCCTTCTCATGGGAAGTACCTTTGGCACTAGTAGGGATCCACACAGGTACGGGTAACCCACGTGGGTCACAGGTATGGGTACCTAGCAGGTACAGGTATGGGTTAGAGTCTTGAGTACCTGTTACCCACACAGGTACTGCTGAGCATGCTTACCAATATTTGTGTTCATACTTTCACCACTACTTGACTCTAGATCTCAACCACCAATATCATCAGGGAAATGTAATTCACTACAGAATGCTACAGACCGCTCTGTAGCATTCTGTAGCACAATCCAACCTGCGGATGATCAGCACCCAACTCACAGCCTTCAAGCTAACTCTTGCAGGGGTGTAGTGATTGGAATGAGGTCTGACATTTCACTGGAGGTTGATGGCATTAGGTGCAGTTGAGGCTCTAAGTGGCAAAGGTGTGTTTCTCGCTGCTCTCACTCTTTTGCTTGCTGATCTCAGTCATTCACTGCTCGCC